AGTACCTTTGCACGTCTTTCCATCGCTCTCCAACCTGTAGTTAGCAAAGCATGCACAAGTTGGTTGGCCTTCACTTCCTTTGAAGCAAAATTGTGAACAGCCATGACCAGACAAACATGGATTTGTGGCTAGAAAAGAAGAGTTATCATACGTATTACTGACTACTGGTTATGCATTGTTGATTATTGGTCCAAAACCTTTCTAAGATCTTGGCATATAGGAGAGCTCGCTTTGAAGGCCACTGCTTCAGAACCAAAGATCAGCCGGACCATTTCTAAAATTATTCTCCAGAGACTTTCACGCCCGAGTCGAGGAAGCACACCCCTCACGTATCCTAGCATAATTACAAGAGATACCAGGCTCATCTTAACTGGGGAGAGCAATGACAAATGTGGCAAAACAGGAGGGGGTGGGGGGGGCATCGATCTCGAATGTAGTCGAAGGATGATGATAATAGCTAATTTTATACAGGGAAGAAAATTTCATGACATGTACCACCTTTCACTTGGTATCAATAATTGCCACACTTCTAGTCAGAAATAATTTCTCTCTGATAACACTTACCCACACAATTTGTCCAGTCAGCGGGATCTATTTCAAAATACTGGTTACAAGAACAGGTGTAACTCCCCTGATTGTTCACACACAGCTGTGTGCAGTTATTTCGTAACTCACATTCATTGATATCTACGTAAAAAAAAACAGCAGGGTGATGAATAGTCAAAGAAGCAATTACCACACTCGTACGTTAACGTATAACATAACTGTCGTATCAGTTATAATCAGGACCTCACCTCCAGTGTCAGATTACTGACCGGCTTAGCAGGAAGCGCATGATTGTCGCGCCAAAACTTTTCCAGAAAAACGCGCATTATTTGTATTTTTAGCAAACCGTATTCCCGCGTCCATTCCTTAATTCCGCTATTGGGAGCAGAATGAACATAGAGGAACCCAAAAGATCACGAATACCTTCCACTCCCATTTCGGAATAGTCCCGAAAAAACGTACCCCTTGTTGATAAAATGCAGAAAGCGCATCCGTCCGAGAGCGTCAAAGAACGTTGGTGAACCGGTCTGTTAAGTTACTGTGAAACAAAACGGGTAGCCATTGTTGTATCATCCCAACGCTTATTTGTACGGACGGATTCAGTATTTAAAATCGGAGCAAAACTTGTTAAAATTATACGCTTAGTTTGAGTCCCGAAAAATAGCACTTCAGGACATTAACGCAGAGATGATGAACTTTCTGTTGTAATGTTGTAAGGTATTCAAATTCAAACCTCCAACTCATGGTATGAGACTTACCGTCACAGCTTCTTCCATCGTCATTGAGCTTGTATCCTTCACGACAATCACATAAATAGGACCCCGGGACATTGACACAGATTTGTTCACAGTTGTTTGAATTATTGCTCTGGCATTCATCGAATTCTACGAAAATAAACATAATTTAAAACTTCACTGCGTTAAAACAGGGGTTTCCATAAAGGAGCTCGTAGAGTGTTGACCCTTCAGGTCAATGAGGCAACAGTTAAAGTTGAAAAATCCTATCTGTATCACAATAATGATTTTCAAACTCTTTGCTTTCTTCCCTTTTTCTAATTTTTAAAGATAACCAGATGAGGTGCTAAAGTACCTATAGCTACCTCCACTTCGCAATTTCTTTAGTTCGAATGCAGTTTGATACAAAACACTCTTTGCCCATATTCTTGAGAGAAAATTGAGGTAAAAATATCACTTGCTTGGTTTCGATCTAATAAACTGATGCTTTGTGATTCCCTCCACACACCTGCACACTGGGCGCCACTTCCGGTATAACCGGTTGGACAAGGTCCGCATGTGTATCCACTGGCATTAGCTGGAGGAGGAAGATCAATGCACTCCACACCTGCGTAACACGGCTGACCATTCATCTCGCAGGCGTCAATGTCACTGTCACAGAACCTTCCTGTGTAACCTCCCTGACATGCGCATCCCATGTAAACAAATCTACTATCAGTGTTGACTGGGTCGCCTTCATCTGGTGAGACGCACTGTCCACCATGAGAGCAGACGCACATATTAATCGTGGGACTCCAGGTTGTGCTCGCACCTTTGTCGTCAGTAGCAACAAACGATAAGTTGAACTGTGAACAAATATAAACAAAACAAATATAACTTCAAGGATGTAGAACTCTATGTGGAATGTTTTAGTACTTGCAAATTGAAATTTGGTTACTGGCACCGCCTACCTTTCGTGTTGATGTAACAAGCCAAGTGAAATGAAGCACGTTTCCACTTTGGTTCACCGTGGCGCCTGGGGGTACGTTAAACACTCTAAATGTAATCGTATCGGTGTCTTCCGCTATGATGTCCAACTGAACAGTTGAATTATAGGTGGCGTTTATTGAGCTTGAATTGTTTATTATCTTGGGTGGAAAATTGTCTGCGCAACGAGGTAAGAAAACACAACAGCAGAGTTACCAACTTTAAGTACCAAATTCCACTATTAGAATTTTGTCTTACAACACCTAGCTCTTCAGCTGACATCTGTACAGTTATACACAACTGCCTTTCACACAACACATTGAAGAACGAATGTATACATGTGTTGCAAGGGTTTAATAGGGAGACTTTCAGGTATATAGCCGTCCTTCTGGATAAAGGACTGCGATTGCTATGACAATAGAGCCATCGGTACAAATAATGCTGCTGCCCAAACGAAACATACCTATTATACACATTTTCATCTACAGCATTTGAATTGCTTTGTTTAAATAGTGTTTAGTGTCAGTGCTTTCAGATCATTAAGTTTTTCAGAAACCCTTTTATTACCCCGCGAGATTGGAATTCGATTAAGAATATATTGTATCATTGAACAACTTTGAGAACCGTTTTATTCTTTTATGCAATAGCATGTTTTCTTCTTGACGACCAAGCCAAATCCTAGGGGGGCGGGGAAATGTGACGGTACATAACCAAGGTTTTCTTATAATCGTATGAATGCCTCTACTTACCAAGAATGTTTGACTCATTGACCAACTGAATATTAATATCTTTTGTTACCATGCCAATAGACAGGTCTCTTGTGGATGCCACGTCAAACAAGCATTCATAATCATCTCCACACTGAGCTTCAGCTTTGAGCCTTAAGCTGTCGTTATGCCACTTGATGTTATCAGCAAACATGGGCTCGAAATCCAGCTTAGCAAACGTGTCCACGCTTTCATTTTTAGCGTAGGCGAATAAGGACTGGGATTGATTAATTTGCCCTAAAACAATGCAAAATAACCTCAGCAACTGAGAAAAAATAACTGACTTATCACCCTAAAAGGCGGCAGCTACAACAATTACATTTACTCGGAGTAAATCAGTGTGAGTAAGTTGTAAGCTCAAATTACATCTTTTGGGTTTGCACTCAAAGGAGATATCAATCTTCGCTTTTACGTGTCATAATTACATTGAACTATATAATTCATAAATTGCAATCACTCATTTCACTATACCCTTTCTGGGTAATTACAAAACCCTCCTCGTCAGTGTCTAGTCCTGGTTAAATCAACAATTGAAAATCTGAAAAAGTGATTGACAATGGCATAGAAATGTGTACTTACACTTAACACCAAACTTGAAATGAATCTCTCTAAACGATGAGGAGGATTGTAGAACCGTCCCATCAGGCAACGTGTAGTCGTCATCCGGGTTATCATTCCAAGTTCCCAGCAAACCTTTCGTGGCATTCTTATAATCATCTCCAGGAGTTACAACGAAGGACAGCATTTCTTTCTTCTCACAGAATTCGACGGCCGTCGTTGATGGGAAAGAAACCTCCAGACAGTTTTCTTTAGGTTTTAAGAAAGAGATATTACCTCCAACGCTTACACTTTGGTTTGTTAGATTGCTATAACCACTGTAAACTACGCGGTCAATGAAAATGCTGATACCACCTAGAACCAACAGAGCAAAAAACAATTAAATTATAAGAAAAATACCATCCCTAATGAAACTGAGGTAAGTTATGCTTCCAAAATAAACTAGAAGCGGGAGAATTATGCCCTTGTTGGAGAAATTTTTTAGTGACCGCAATTACTCGCAAATCGCCAGCAACAGCGTCAGTCTAAAATTACAGATTCGGAACATGTCATTGTCAATACTGCAAATTTGATGGAGATGGGGTTAGCAGTTACTACTAGCTGTCAGAACAAACCTTGAGGGTAATAAGTTTAAGTGAATGACCAGGGTTTTGTCCTCATACGTCTTATAGCAATTAACGTATCAGTAAAATTTATGCTTACTTTGAAAGAGTCTTATTTTTAAAATCAGCCAGTTTGGAATTAGATGAAAATTTGTTTGTTTCATTTGCTGTCGCCCATGATCTTTTATCACTGAGGTGGCGAATTATTTGCCATTTCTCAAAGATTCCCTCACCTCCTTTCTTCACTTTCACTTCAACAATGCTGGTGTTTTCTTCTTTAGCAGCCCCAGCTGTAAAAATAGTAGCCGTTGTTGAATTCCCCTGCGCAAGGCCTGTCCTGGCCTGGAGCTGAAAAGTTCCGTTTTGTGCATCGATCATGACGTACTCTCCAAGGCCATTAAATGTGTAATTCCCACCATCCAGAGTCTTGAAATGAGGATCGCAACAGAACCAACCTACGCAATAAACGAAAAAAGGCCGTTTAAAAGGCGAGCGAGGTAAAGTTTAAAACAGCCGGTGAGTCACTAAGTCAGTTATAGCTAGCCGGTCACTTAGTCCGCAAAACGTCGGTCAGTTTGTCTCCCATTTACGGTCAGTTATCCATCCATTCATTCATTCGTTCATTCATTTATTCATTTATTCATTCATTCAGCGTTCGTTCTTTCGTTTGCTCGCTCGCTCGCTCGTTCGTTCGTTCGTTCGTTCATTCGTTCGTCCGTTCATTGGTTCGTTCATCTATTCATTTAGGCAACCGATCGAACGAACCTATCAGCCAGCTATTCTTCAGTCATTCACTAAGTCGTTCAATAAATCATTTTTGAGTCAGTGAGTGAGTGAGTCACTTTTTCAATCATCCAGTCAGTCTGTCAGTGACTCGGTCATCCAATCCGTCTATATGTCCTTTTTTCGATCATCAGTCAGTCCGTTAGTCCAAAGCAAACATATTAATAACAAACAGAACTTACGTCTACGGGGAGGTCTGTAAAAGCGGCAGTCATCAGATGGACGATAATAATAAAATAAATCGCAGTAACTGATGTCAACACAACAATATCTGTAGGCTTGCTGGTCAGTGTAAACCGTCTCAACGCGATTCAACCAATAATAATAAGCTTGCACTTTGACGCGACCTCCGTCAGGCTCGCCAACCTTAAGTGCACCCCAGTTTTTCCAGTCCGAGGAGTAACAACACATTTGCGTCATCCTAAAATATATCAGTCCCTTTTGAGGACTGTAACGAAAGACGGATTTTGAGCGTCTTGACTCGTAGCAATAATCGGGCCATGAATACCGGTCCCAACGGAATCTCCCTCTATCCAACCACGCCTGCGATTCACTACAAGGACAAGCCATGCGCCAATCCCGGCCTATCTGCTGATTATACAAAACAGGGAAAGCCAGGAATTCTTGAAGACCAGCCCAAGTGAAGCACTTCTCCAACGAGCCGAAACCATCGCTGTCCTCGATCCTCCAAAAATATCTTCCAATCAAATCGGTGTTTCCTTCGTTTTCATCAAGATTTAACATTCCAAGCAAAGTCCCCGAGCTATGAAAAGAACACCAAGATAAGTTTAAAAGAAATTGTGGAGGGCTTTACAGAGCCACCTTCAATTTCTGAAAATTTAAGGTGTCTCTGGATTCTTTCCCACGAATTTTGTTTTTAATTTGCAAAAAGTTGTATTTCATCATATAAAGTGTAGTAGCAATGATCGATCAAAACAAAAGTGTTGGAAACCAGTGTTATCATTATGTTGGGCGCTGGTCTCGCATCGAACTAAGAAGCACCTTACTTGGACAATATTAATTTAAACTAATGAGTACAAAACCGCCCTGCTGTAGTCAAAGTTTTCAGTATCACAACACAAAACTAAACAAACAAGCTATCTTAGATAAAAATGAAACCTGTTCTCCTCACCCCTTCATGTTTAAGTAGTTTTTTCCATAGTCTCCAGCGTTCCAGCCTCCGACAGGAATACCGTACCAACTAGTCCAATAGGAATAGTAACTTAAATCATTCCTGTTTAAAAAAAGTCGCAGTCAATGTGAGAATTTACTGTGTTCAGTTGTCGAGTGATGAACGGTTTCACAAAATGGCTTGGGGACCCACGCTGTGTTTTCCTCAAGTGAAGAGGCATATCTTGTTTATGTTTGGATTCGTTTTCATTAACTCTAAGGCCCTTGCAAAAGCTTCTAAAAATTTAACCTTACGAAGAAGTTACATTCCTGAAGAAAACGTGAAATAGAGCGAAAACTTAGGTCCTACTATTTTCTTCATCAATCATTTACACTCGCGGATCATGAAATCCTCTAAAAATGCATAATCATGCAGCCTAACGTAATTGTAACTATAGGTGATAGTACTCAAAATGACTTGTAACATTATTTCGATCTATATCATTGGATTTAGTAACAAAACGAAAGCTCCGTTTTACGGATTCAAGAACAGAGCTTTAGATTGCAAAACGAAAATAGCTTACGGAACTCCCGGAACAACCCAGTTAATTCCTCCACTGGGGTAATTGAACAGCAAGAATGTGTTGAGCCCGTTTGTGATGATGACAGCTTGAAACGTGTTGCTCTGGAAAAAAAGATTGAGAAGCCATCAACAACGGTGATGTTACACTTTCTGACATGTCCCATAAGAGCCCACAAAAGGTGTTTTGCAGAAGTAACAGGAGTTGAACATTTTAGAAATAAACTGCTTTGGAGAAGTTTGGGTATGTTCACCTTCCTCATGACTCATTATGTTTATTTTTGAACCGTGAGTATATAGGGAATTCTGAAACAGGTTATGCAGGCAGAAGAAAGTTGTTCAATATCGCTAGACATTTGCGGCACTCATTTTTCACCGATATAATTATTATTTTTTTTTTTTTAGATTTGGTCCCCTGTGTTTAAATTAAGAAAAGTTTTTCTAGCTTAGCAATCAAATCGTTTGAAAAGATTTAAGCGTGCAAGTAATCGACTCAGTCCCAGATAAATTATGCGTTGTACGTGTAAGACGTGCCGTTTTGTTACGCCATGCAAAAGACATGTTGACACTTACCCCGGGGCAGTACAAGGAGTACAAGTATAAATAATACACGTAAGGGCAGAGGTTTTCCCACGTTACAACCAGAACCCAAGTGGCTCTAAAGTTGGCAAATTTTCCACTTTTGCCGTAGCGTTGAACATGTTCTGAGGCCATGGTCAGGACTTCACTGGTTAGGCTTTCAACGGTGGTTTGTCTGACTTGTTCATACACGTGGTAATACACCTTCGAGTAACCAGCTTTGAAAGCGATGTACTCATCAGCAGTGGCCCAGAATGGTGCAATAATAGCCATATTGTTAAACCATCGGTAGACGCCAAACCTTTGTGGCCACCACCAGCTCCATTCATAGTTGAGTTGGATTTTGCCATTGCGACATATCTGCAAAGTCATTAAATTAAACGTGTAAGCGTTAACAGAATTTGTATAAAGATGTTGTTATATCCAGTAATAACCACTGGACGTTGTTGATTTCAGCGACCTGATCGCGTCTTTTACTTAAGACACCTATCAAGCAATGAACTATCGCCACCTTACTCCAGAAAGCTCGCATTTCAAGGTAACTAGGAAAACTGTATCTTTCAACCGTTTCATGCTTCAATCCCCGGGCGGCAACTCGCACATTGGGCCGATGAGTATTCTATTGTACGACAGCTTCCACTCGTTCCCGCCGTACCTAGTAAGCTCTGAAAAAATTGGCTTAGAGCCAAGACGTATGAGCCGATTACAGGGAAGTATAGTCAGCTCAACAGAAAGGAGAGGGCTACCTTACGTAGCAAGCGTTTCCGTGCAGTTTCTGCATTTTACTCAGTTTTACTATTACCGCGCGAAGAGGAGAAAAGACAGAGAAAACGCATAATAATGGCTTTGTAGAGACGGTTGCTACGTAGGCTAAGGGAGGGTCACCAGCAATAATATTAACGGAGTAATCTAATTAATTTATTTAAATTTATATACCTTCATAGGGCTCTTATAATTTCTTTCTTCTGCTTTTTTTCTTTCTTTTTTTTTCATGGCGTACCTGTAAACTAGCTTTTTAGCTAAGCGTACTGACCACGTTAAATATATTGATTGATTGATTGATTGATTGAATCTCTAGCCAACTCTTTTGGGCCTTGATGGCTAACTCAAGCGTAAATTAAAAATACTTAATAATATAATGATATCTTTTGAACCTATTTGATCGATTGCGCATTATGCGATTCGAAAGAGGGAAAGGGGATACCTACGTATAATTTGTAATGCCGCTCTCCGAAGAAGGGAAATCCAAAGCGGTCTGTTTTGACCTCCAGACAATGACTACTGTAGTAATATGGCGAGTCGCTAAGACGAAACTCGTGATCACCCTGCTTCAGGCCGTAATGATACATGTTATTCACATATGGAGGTGCTTTAAACAAACAAAAGAAAGAAGAAAATGCAATTATAACATAGCTAGCAAACTCGCGTAATCAAATTCGATACGCGCGAGCGTGCTTCATGTTCCCATTGTGCACGCTGATGACGTCGGCGCTAAACTTCCATGTTGAAAATGTTATAAAACAATTGGTTCATGTGTCAGCCGTACGTTCATCGAGATATGGAGCACTTGGGAAGTTTGGAGAGCACTCATGAAGCTAGAGTTGTTCTCAGCCACGCCTCGAGCAACTCTTACGCATCTTTCGTGCTCTCCAAACTTCCCGCGTGCTTCGTATCTCGATGAACGCACGCTAACGCATGAGACTATTGTTAAACTTGTAAGTGGATAAGTTCACATATGATCCGAAAGACAATTTCAGCCGTCTCAGCTGAAAACCAAGGCATAATCTCCCCAACAAAGTGATGCTCATTTTCAAATAAGGAATCAGTAACAACGTTCCATTATCTGATGATATGTTATTTCCCTCTAAGTATGATAAAAAATTACAAAACCGTAATTTATTGATGAGGAAATCCTTTAGCTTACTTGCAGAAACCGAACTGCTTGTGCTGACAAACGTCGACATACTTGGAGAGACACTTGCAGAAACTGAAATGCTTGAGGTCAGGGAGGTCGACAGCCTTGGAGAGATACTTGTAGAAACTAAATTACTTCCCATAAGAGATGTCGACAAACTTCGAGGGATACTTGCAGAAACTGACATACTTTTGCTGAGGGACGTCGACACACTTGGAGAGATACTCTCAGAAACAGAATTACTTGCGTTGACGGACATGGACAGACTTGGAGAGATACTTTCAGAAACTGAATTACTTGCGCTGAGGGACCTCGACAGACTTGAAGAGATACTTCCAGAAATTGAATTACTCGCGCTGAGAGAAATCGACAGACTTGAAACAGTACTCTCAGAAACTGAATTACTTGCGCTGAGAGACGTCGACAGACTTGGA